GAAAGTTGTGAATCCTAGCAAGAAAAACGGAATATTAAAACAGATGTAAACATGACGCGAATCATTTACTTTGCATGAGCCAATCGCAGGAAGCATAATTGCATCGTTCGACTCACGAAATAACAAATATCGGAAATCCTATACTAATTTTAACCCATTTCAGCATCGAGTTCAGGACATATGTCTGTAATCCGAGTCCACATTGAAATAGGTACAGATATACAGTCCGACAAAAGAGAAACAACATTTCCCCAGGGGGCTAGAAAACCATATCGCGTTTCATCTATTTTCGTTTCGGCTTGACTGTTTTCATCTTCGACAGCAGCATCTCTTGCTTAATAGCACAGAAGCCAACCCAAAAATATTGCAAATCCTAAAGAGATTTTACCTGTATGCATCGCTCAAAAAAGTGAGCTTGGATCCGTCTTCGTCCAACCAAGTGATCAGAACGCTCTGCTGATGATGAGACGCTCTAACCACACAGTCCAAAACTGCTGATTGTCCTGCTTCCACAACCGTATCGGAGGGTTCCACGGAAAATTCCAGAACTCCATGACCTGAAACAACAATAAATAAAATGCTAAAAAATTAAACAGTAAAACTGGCGAGTATTTACGGCCTTTAGGACCATTGTGATCACATTTTAAGATCCATGCTTTCGAGCGAAACAAATTCTTCAAATATAATTTTGAACACTATTGTGAAGCCTCCTGGAATGGGCCAGTTTTAATGAGTTTTCGTGTGGAACCTTTTGGGGCGCCGATGGAACAGAGGCCCTAAGAAAATTACAACCCCGAAAAACCATCTTTTACAGAAAAGTCGTCCCTTGATGCCCTTTAGAGAGGATGTGGATGCTTTTACTGTTAGGTGAAGGGAATTGCCGGCAACTTTGAGTGACACTGTTATTGGTTTTCCTTCGACATCAAGGGAATTGAATCTAACATTCGGTTTGATAGTATAAAGAGGCGAGGAATTATTTAATCCGCAAATTTCAAAAACCGCTCAAATCCAACATTTGCACCATTTTGGAAAAATGAACCAAAAACCGTGCGAATTGCGCAAACATTTCCCAGAATTATGTACAGAAAAACACATTTTCCTTGACATTTGCGCAATATTTAAACATTGCCAGTATAAACATTGAAACTTGTTCAGATTAAACAAATCTCGCAAACCCGCTTAACTTTACCAAGAATTGTCAGGTGTATGCAAAATTCCCTAGATAAAAATTCTGTTAGCTCGTAAATTCCCACCTGATAACCAAAAAACCCATTGTTCAGTGAGTTTAAAAAGAATAACCGCAAACACAATGTGGGTTTTTAGCATTAACAGTTTAGGATTGTTCTTTGAGTTAGTTACTAGTTACCACTTTTAACACATTTTTATTCATCAAATAGACAATGTTTGTCCTGGTTGAAAGCATATTGTATGGTAACAGACGAAGGACGCTGTAGATGTTGAAGAACCGATGGCGATGGCGAAGTTCTTCCTCGCATACTTTGCTTGCAAAATCTATTTTATTCATGTTTAAAACCATGCGAAAAGGAAAATGTCCTAGAAAAACACGCAGTGTTATTATTACGACGTCCATCCATGATAAGTTACCATTATGAAACAACGAAGAGAACCGAAACATCTGCCAGACATAATTAAACAGTAGCTAGCGTATATTGAAGGGAACATTTTCAGCCTTAGAATTTTAGGAATTTCAAAAGTTTGTCCCAATGGAGGTTGACTGTAATGTTAATTTATTAGGGTGGGTTTAGTTTAAATATGGGGGTATGTGATAGGATCTTTCCGCGCTCTAACCGTTGAAATAAGCGCATAAAGCAAAAATTGGGAAAAAAATTCAAAACCGCGTTAAGTTTTTGGCTCATTGTCAGAAAACCGATAGGGCAACAGAGCTTCAACTGCTACTACTAAATATAGCTTTGAAGTCTGTCTTTTTTTAGATAAAACATCGTTTTACTAAAGTTTGTAATCATTTCAGGAAATGCAAAAGTGCAAAAATAGTGCATTTATTCAAAACCGCGCTTCGCTATTGGCTCTAATGCTACAAAGGCAAACACGAGTTTGCTGAACTGAGAGCCTCAATTATAAATAATCGGACATTTATTAGCCGGCATCGAGCAGTAAGAAAAATAAAAAATCCCATAACAAATATATAAAATACTGCCATCATTCCATTGTTATTTAATGGTTCCCAGAAACGGAAGCAAACGTTCTTCGTGGTACTGATTCAGACAATGAAATGTCTTTGAGTAATACTTATTTATAAGTCCTCTCCGTGCTGCATAATTCATTCATAGCTGGTTTAATTATTTAATACACTTTGTCTGCCTCGCTCTGTTATTGAAATGATTAAAGGTCTACCAAAGAGAAATTACTGTTTTATTGACTTTATGTTTCTCGGCGCTTTGTCGGGGGAAATGCCTTCAGTGGAACCTATTTTTGGGTGGTCTGGACCTTGATCATTTATTGAATGAAACGGTATTTAAATTCCCAGTCAAATTATCACAGTGATAACATTAAAAAACACCGAAGAAAGCAGCTGCAACTTATGCGTTTCAAACTTCAAAGGTGTAAAAATCCAACATAACTCTACCCTTAACTACTTGCACTTTAATTCAATTAAAACTATTTCCCTTGGCAGATGTGCGCTACATCAACATCCCTTTTATAGTATGTAAAGATGGAAAGGGGGCTTGGGACAAACGGGGGTGTTTTATAGCAGGACAACAAAGCGGAACCGATTGGATATTCTTTGGATCAACAGCCAAACTTCGCTTTTCATCGGCTAATAAAGACCAGAGTCCAGTCATGCGAAACGGGATTTGCACTAAATCCTCGCGATTTATTAAAGTCTGTACATTATCGAAGTGGAAAAGCATTTCTTCCTGACGTTTCGCAAGCACGAGTGACTTGCATCTTCAGAGGTTTTCAAGCAATGGTCGCCACGAAAGCCCAACTCTTTCGCTAAACTAAATAAAGCTGGGTGGAGTGGCAGTGGGTGTATCCAAGCGTCTTCCTCATGCATAATTCACCGCAATTTCAATATCATTACAATAGATATTAAATATGTTGTCTGTATGTTCGGTAACAATTATGACACGAGTCAAGTTTGGTTTCTAGCTGAAGTTAATCTAGTTTTGAAATTGTTGGTGATTATATAAATACAGAAGCGAAAATAGGTCAATGTTGAAACATTGAGCTCAATCGATGATAAGAAACTATTACTTATATATAAGTTGGATGGTTGCTTGGAACATTTATGAATCCATAATTCCGAGATATTTTAATAAACAAACAAATACACTTGCGAAATAAGCTAACATTGCAGTTATCGGCTTTTTCATCATTTATTTTTGATGAAGCCACGCTGTCTATTAACCTTAAGTGAGTGCTGATAAGACTTTAATAAAACTTAATTCTACAAAGCAAGTATGAAAACAGCTTAGCATGTTGTCGCAGATAGGACTGAAGTATCAGATAACTTTCAAAATTACGTGCAAAAATTTTGCGCCTTTTGATAATTTAGCATTGCTGCGCAATTAGTTCCAAGTGTATTAAAAACAGGCAATATAAGAGCCTACTTACTACAAGTGTTTACCTGACGTATCTAAATCCAGCTATTAATTAAACTAAAGATCTAAATGTTACATTGCAATAAACTTGTGGAAAAAGTTACATTGTCTTAACCTTTACGAATTATCACCGAAAGGAAGAAATACTCGCACAAAATCCATTTGGATGGATTTTATTCAATATCAGCGAAAACTTCTCAATCTCCATTCCGCCTCTCAGGCCCTCCCAACAATGGAAAACTTCTCCATGGCATAATTAAGCTGTAAAATTTCCAATTTACGATGTCTATCGCGCCAATTAGTTCTGTATCGGATCGAAGAAACGAAAGATTAATCAAATCTGATCCGGTAATTAATCGACTTCTGTTTAGGCCGGGAATTTCGAGGACTCGCTTTTCAAACGATAACTTTTAATCTTGCTTCCAATTCAATATTGATCAATCCCCATCGGGTGGAGGCGGAAAACTTCATTTGCGTTCATCACTTTTGTTTAAATTTCTGCCAAACAAACCGCGGTTGAAACAATGTTCCAGAATGAAACAAACTCGAACGGCTTTCCTGATCAACTCGATTCGATCTATCAGGTTCACAGCATAAGAAAATAAACCAGGTTAACGAGGTGTTAATAGAGTGCAGCTAAAATCAGGTAACAGTTAAGTAGTAAACCAGTGAAATGAGCTTCGGACGTATCGAGAAATAAGATTAAAATAAACATTTTGCGTGGGTAATCTACCTATAGCACTGTTTGGCATTGACTATTAAGCAGGTGTTTTCATCACCTTCAAGCTAATCAACACATCGTACCAATATAGGATCTCCTTCATTCTTCAGAAATTATTTTCCACGACGGCGTAAAAAACCCTTCGATCGATAAGTTTAATTGAGAAGTACTTAGTTTTTGGCTCTTTGGCAGAAAACCGACAGGGTAAGAGACTTTCAGTTGTTACTTCTTAATAGAGCATTGAATAGTATTTTCCCGTATATATAAAACATCGTTTCACGAAAGTTTCCAATTATCTCAGTAAATGCAAAGCGCAAAAATAGTGCATTTTTTAGAACCGCGCTTAGTTATTGGCTCTAATGCTACATAAAGTGCAGTGCTTAATTGAGAGCCTCAGTTATAAAGATAGAAATTCTTTTCAAAAAATCGACAGTTTTAAACACTTTTTTGATACAAAGACAATCAGCGAAAAATGCATTTCATTCACCACCTCGCTTGAACATGAAGAAATCGACAAATTCCAAATAATTTAATTGAGAACTACTTGCTGCAAATGTCAACTATTTTTCCATTCAATTCGAATGCAATTCAAATTGCAGTAATGCAAGGCAAACCGAACAAATATTCATAATCGATAATAATAATCTATTCCTAGTTTTTGCTTAAGAAACGAATTCAGTCGACTTATCGGGGTGCATATTAAATGACTATGATGTAAGAAAACCCAGTTCTTTGGTAAATTCATAGCGTCGAGTCCCTGTAAAGATACCAATGAATGCGATTCTTGAACCACACATTATACATTTTTTGTACGCGAAAAATGCGCTTAATAAGTATTCTTCGCAAAACTGAGCCTTTCACCAACGTATGCTTAAATCACTCATAATTTGGAAGGAAGTCCATGATTGCAATAAACATCCACAGTGGTTTGGTGCATAGTGCATTTTATTGACAGGCAAGGCCATTTAAATGAATTTTAATTGCATTAATAATTAGACTTATCAAAGCGAATTGTGACGTGCATAAACTTAAATTGCGCATATACACAATAGTTTGATTGATTTTGTAAACATACATCACAGAGACTATCAGCGGACGTGTAACTCATACCGGGAATAAAACTTTTTGATTTACATGCGTTTTATCAACCAGTTAAATGCTGATTGACAATCCACGCAATTTTGATGAACAAAATTCCACATTTCGCCGATTATTCGCAGAAAATCCACGCAAATTCCACTGGAGATTTTAT